AATTTAGAGCTGATTTAATAAAAAATAAAAAAAAAACAAATCCAAGGAATGGGTTAATTCTAAAAGAAAGTGACAAGACTGTGATAATCAAGAGAAATAGAGGGCTTCTAGAATGTTAACAATGTTTTATTTCTTCACTTTAGTATGTTCAGTTTGTATTTTTTTAAATATATATATATACATACTTTATAAACTTTCTTCATGTATTTTATGTCTCACAGCTCTAAAAATGTTTAATTATCCCAGAAAAAGCTTTAGAGGTATTTTTAAAACTAATACAAATTAAAAAATTAAAATATTTAATAAACAGTAGAAAACTGATATAATCATCATAAGCACATATATACCTACAATACAATCTTAAACTTGAGCTATATCAAACAAATTGGAAAAATACATAAAGGAACTATTGTAGTTAGAAATGTTTTAACATGTATCTCTAAGAATTGTAAATCAGGCTGGCACAATGGCTCATGCCTGTAATCCTATCACTTTGGTAGGCTGAGGCAGGTGGATTGCTTAAGCTCAGGAGTTTGAAACCAGCCTGAGCAAGAGCAAGACCACATTTCTAAAAATAGCTGGGCATCATAGTGGACACATGTAATCTCAGCTACTCAGGAGGCTGAGGCAAGAGGATTGCTTGAGCCCAAGAGTTTGAGGTTGCTGTGAACTATGATGCCATGACACTCTACCAAGGGCAACAAAGAAAGACTGTCTCAAAAAAAAAGGAATTGTCGATCAAGTAGATATGAAAGTAGTATGAATATGAACTAAAAAACATATAAGTATATCCAAAATAAACATTCCTTTTGAATATACACAGAACATTTACAAGAACTGACCATGTATTTGGCCATAAAGAAAGCTTCAATAAATTTCAAAGATCCAAACCCATTTAGGCAACTCCTACTACAATGCAATCCTGGAATTAACTTTTTTTAAAAGAGAGCTAAAATATAATTAAATCCCCTACGTTTAGAAACTAAATATTACTAAACAACACTCAGCTTTAAGAAATAGATAGGGTGGTGCCTGTGGCTCAAGGAGTAGGGCGCTGGCCCCACGTACGGGAGGTGGCGGGTTCAAACCCGGTCCAGGCCAAAAACTGCAAAAAACAAAATAAAATAATAAATACTTAGATCTCAGCACTTTGTGAAGCCAAGGTGGAAGATCACTTGACCTAGGAGTTCAAGACCAGCCTGGGCAGCATAGCAAGAGCCCATCTCCACAAAAATAAATTAACTAAACGGGTATGGTAAGCCTGATATGGTAACTCATGCCTGTAATCCCAGCACTCTGGGAGGCCAAGGAGAGTGGATTACCTAAGCTCACAAGTTCGAGCAAGAACAAGACCCTGTCTCTAAAAACAGCCAAGTGTTGTGGTAGGTACCTGCAGTCCCAGGTACTCAGGAGGCTGAGGCA